CAAATATTAATTCTTCGTCCTTTTGGCTAGACGTCCACAGCATTCCGTTAAAATTCTCAACAGTTAATTCAAGACCTGACCGAACTCTGAGACCCTACTTTGAACCTGAACACAAAAGAAAAAAAAACACAAAAAATCACATACACTCTCAATTCACGGGACTCTAATCTGCTTTGAACCTGTACCAAAAAAAAAATATATACATAACATTTCACTCACATTAGCAAAAACTCGCAGTGAGTATTTTTCTTTGTATGTATATTATTCTGGTAGATTGACTTTTCTGGAACCTTCTTCTTCGAGAACTTTTCCCGCCTTAGCCATCTTGTTTTCTATTTTGGCACGGAACATTTTCATTGATCCCTACCACGGGATAAGTTACTTGTTTTCTTTCATTTAATAAAAAAATTACTCTTGTTTGAATCCAGTCTTTTTCTGTCATTCTGTGCCGGCTATCTTAATATATTTAATTTATGCACGTGTGGACGAACCACATCACTTCGTTGTTCATTCACGCATTTTTATCTTTTTTTACTTTGCTTGTAGACTCGGTAGTTTAGTGTGGTGTCTGGCACAAGGCCACTTCGTAATAAACCAGCACTGCACCCTACCGGGCCTGCAACATGTACAAAAGCTTTTTCTTCTTTTTTTTTATAATAATGATTAATGGAGAAATTAACCATTTCCATATAGTGCTGTATGCTTAGAGATTCTTGATAAAATCCAAAGAAGAATCAGCAATATTATTGGTCCTGACCTGGCATCTCAGCTTCTGTCCATTTCCCGTCGCCGTAAAGTTGCCTCTCTGTGCCTTTTCTATAAATACTTTCATAATAACTGTTCTCTTGAACTCTTCGCGATGGCACCTAGACTTTATGAATTTAATAGATTGGCTACTAGGTCTCATCAATTCACAGTTGAATTGTCTTGATCTTTTTTTCAACCTTTTTAAGCAACGGCACACTAAAGAGCAAATGAAATTATCACAGCGCACTTTACAAAATTTTTAAAGGGTATACATTTCAATGTTATGAAATGAAACCATAGATTAAAAAGATACACATACAAATATCAATTTAGCGTATATAGTCACGTATCATGCGACCTTTTAAAGACCTAATTTTGAAGCTACTCCAGTAAATGGTTATATAGTTTGGTCAACGGCGTAGCCAGGGCCAGCAGTACATACGCTAATTTTATATCTCGTGTATGAGTCGACCTCCTTAAAATTAGATTCAAAATTAGGTTTTCAAAAGTCGCATATTACGCGAGTATATACGGTACTTTATTTCAATGTTTCTATTCAACTATTTGTTTAATAAAATACTAACGCTGAACCATTACGAATCACACACACACATATATATTATGAAATGGACAAAGTCCGACAATTATTTTATGACATTTTTATGTTTATACATTCTTTTTACAGATACAAATATTTAAGTAAATGCTCTGTTCTATAATAAACAGTATTAAACGACATTTACCGGCCTGAATGTCCGAGAATTTTTCTGACAGGATTCGAACCTGTATCTTATACGAAACCGTCATTTAGCTTGACGTGCATTTAACCGATTCGGCCACACTGGAGCTTTCGGTTAGCAAGGTCGAATTTAATTATAGTTACAAATATTTAAGTAAATGTTCTGTTTTATAATAAACAGTATTAAACAACATTTACCGGCCTGAATGTCTGAGAAATTTTCACAGAAAATATTCGTCCTCCGACCGGATTCGAACCTGTATCCTTTACAGAACCGTTATTTAGCTTGACGTGCCTTTAATATGAATGTACGTGAGAGATTCATAGAAGAATCCACTATCTTTTAAGGCTGTTTCATCGTTCATCTTCCAGTGAAACCATTTTCAACGAAGCCAAGAAAGACTATGAAACCGCCCTAAAAGATAGTGTATTCCCGGAAAGAGGAGAAAGATTGTGATTTTCTAAGCGCTGCTTAGATGTGGCACAAGGCCGGAAGTATGGAGCACCCAGTGAGGACCGAACTCACTCGTAATTGTTCTAGCGAGACAAGCTTGCTAACCATTACACCACGCCGAGGTGCTCGGAAAGAGGAGAAAGAGAGTTAGGCATGAAATGTTTGCCTTTTTATAGGCTTCAACAATGCCACCCAACGACGTTTTTTTGAAACCAAGTGGAGTAATCATATTTCCGGTTCCTTTACTCTTAGCATCATGGGAAACTGCATTATTTTTTTCTTTATTTTCTTATTCTTTATTATTACCTTGACGTATTGTAATGGTTAACAAGCTTTTCTTACTAGAACTAATTACTACTGGCTAGTGAATTTGATCCTCATTGGGTGGCTCCATACTTTCGGCCTTGTGCCACATCTAAGCTACGCTTAGAAAATCAACATTATTATTATTATTTTATTTATCGATTTTCCCACAAATTCCAACGCCCGAGAGGAACAAAACTTGGCACTTGAAATCCCGTCAGGATAAAGAAAAAAACTGGATGCATTCGATATGAAATGTCTCTAAGAAAACACTATAAGTCAGTCGGAACAAATTTGTAACTGAGGACGAACTTAGGAAACAGGAAAATCTATGTTGCAATTCGAAGAAAGTCTGCGACAAGCAAATGAAATATGTTTGCCATACAGCAAGAGACCCACCTACTTGGCTTGCATTCCAAGTATTAAGAGTCGATACTCACTGGCAGATAATAGCGCGCGAAAAACTGACAAGGAATCAGTCGAAAAACTCAGACAATGATGAATGATCGATGCGGACAGCGTTAACGGCCACAAGCGTGAGACTTTACGAGAGTCTAGATTAATTGATTGATTGATCAATGGCGCAAAAGTTACTCTGAAAAAATCGTTGTATAATAATTATAATAAAAACAATAACGACAGTTGACTGATTTGTTTTTTACAGCTTATCAACCCTCTGTAGTGTGTTTAAAGCCAAAAACATATTTTGGATTGTAAGAATAATAATTTTTGTTTTTGCGAGTGAATTATTGTATAATAATTATAATAAAGACAACAACGACAACTGACTGCTTATCGTTTTTGAATTTTTGACGGCTTATCAACCCTTTGTAGGTTATTCAAAGCCAAAACATATTTTGTATTGTAAGAATTTTTTTTTTTTTTTTGGCAAGTTAGAATTGACTGATTTGCTTGTTTAATGACATATCAACTCCTTATGGGTCATTTAATGCCAAAATTTAATTGGAATATTTTGAACACAATTTTATGAATGTAAGTAAATATATTTTGAACACAACTGCATGCCTTCAACTACAGATAAAATGTATTGTTAGTCATTTTGCTTTAAAACTGATTTTCTGGTATTTTTACTATAAAAATGTATTTTTATACTTTGATAGTGTTTTGTTTTGGTTTGAGGGTTCACTTTGCCTATAACTGGGACCCTAACTGGTGCTACCACCCCAGGTCATGGTGGACCTGGGAACAACAGCAATTAACCGTATTAAAAAAATCAAAATCTCCAATCTTCAGCTATCAGGTGTAGTTTATAGTCTATAGCCAGGACTATTTTTTGCAAGTGAACATTGCATTAACAATTGTTTGTAAATAACAATACTTTTTTCCAGATACATATCCTAGTATTGAATCGATAGACAGAGGGAGTTAGATTCATACCTTTTCCCAGATTATTAGTTTTTAGGTGAAGGTAACGAACTTGTCTGGAATACGAAATCGACTTTCCGATTTTTCATTCCGAGTCGCTATTTATTGCACCACTCGCACATCCGACAAGGAAAATCAGTCTCTTCTTTAAATCTTCCGTTTTCATTTGCCAGACAAGACACGAAGGAAGCAAGAAAATCTATTTTCCATTTTGATGACAATGCCTATGTCGTTCGGCTTGCACGCCAAGTATCAGAGTGGATTCCTACTTGAAAAACGGCAGCATTTCATTTCAAACGTGCCTGCTTTCTTTGTCTTTTTCTATTTCTTTTTCCTTCCACTTTTCTTTCTTTTTCTACTCTTTCAATTTTGCCTCTTTTTAAATCTTTTAAACGAGCAAACACAGGCGATCCCATTTTGAATAAGTAGATCACATGATAGTAATTGAAATGTATATATGGGAATTAGCGTGGCGTCTAATTGATTACTATTTCTATTCTATCCTCTATAGTATTCATTATACTATTTCTCTATACTGATCACTATACGGATCACTATTCGGTGGTAACTATTCTAGCGAGTATTATCGAGCAAGTACTATTAGTGCGAGATTATTCCAAGGTGTTTGACACCAGTATTGTTCAACGGCGTTACTATAGTTTGTATCTGCGATTACAAAGTCTCTACTACAACGAGCATGACGAAAGTGACGAGTATTCGTTGGAATTACAAAAGTGGCAACGAGTGTTCGTTGGCATCACAAAAATTTTAAAGGCTTTCAATTAAATTTTAAAGGCTTTCAATTAAACTTTCTTCACTGATAATTTCCGTACGGCTTATAACCTCGGCGCTCCAGACCTGCATAAAAACACAAAATATTACCATCTACTAAATAATAATTACCGTTGTGTATTTATTTATTTAAATCTTTCGTCGTACCCTGTGGGTGGGTGAGTTAAATCAACTGAAACTATTACATTTTTGAATGGTTACCTACCTTAGACATTTTAATCATCTATACAAATAAAATATTTATCTGTATTCAGGCAAAATTAGTTTCCGGGAAAAATGAGCCGTTTAGTGATTCCAATGTTAAGACATTGTTATGGTGAAATACCTGTTCCCGTACGATCATCGAAGTTAAGCGACATAGAGCCTCATAAGTGTTATTGAAAATTTTCATTTCTTGAAAATATGCATTTTTGCTTATATATCCAGACTTTAGGGATACTCTGTACAAATACAGCAAATCTCGCTGGGGGTGAAAACAAAATCGCAGCAGTCCACGTGCATTGGACTGTGGAGACACATTTGCATCGTGACTCAAGAACACCTCGGAGTATACGAGCAGTCCCAATCTTCTACAAATGAGACCACGTCAGGTTGAAATACCTGTTCCCGTACGATCATCGAAGTTAAGCGACATAGAGCCTCATTAGTCCCTAGATGGGTGATCGCTTAGGAATAGCAGGCGCCGTAAGCTTGGGTGTGGGTTGTGGTGGTGGGGGGCTATAATGGATAATAGCTCGGAATTGTTAATCGGAGAGCAGAGTGTTAGGGTCGTTATATTCACTCGGGCTGAAATACCCTTGAGAAAGGTATGAATCATCTCTTCTCCCCAGCTATGGGTTAATTAGTAAGATTTATATCACTAAATCATTATTATCTAAAAAAGGAATTCTAACAATCTGAAAATATTTTCTGGCTTTAAATAACCTGCAAAGGGTTGATAAACCTCAGAAAACGAATCAATCTTCTAGAAATATCCAATCTTGACATTGAACACAATCTTCTCCAGTCACTTCATAAGTTTAGTACCTGCTAGTCTCCAGATTACCAATAACAATGGGGATTACTTCCAATGGCCACAATTCTGCACTTCTCATTTTAATCTATTATAATTTTCTTTTCTTCTTCTTTGTTATTATTATTATTTCCTTTGATTTCTGTTGTATACACATTTCCTTCTGGGTTCCAACCAGAGACCTGTGTCAGAAATGGCTTCATGACAATTTCCAGTGATCATTTTTTAACAAAAAAAACTAAAAAAAAAAAACTAAGATAACACAGTTTTTACACAGATGAACTACTTTGTAATGTATGACCTGTACTTGTGAGCACAATTTTTTGTATTTTTTTAAGGCATGGGCTGCCAGGAATCGCTTCAATGTGTCTATTGAAACCTTTTCTAATCAATCCGAGGGCTCCAACTACAACTGGAATTACTGATGCCCTCTTGTGCCACATTTTTCAGATTTCCACTTCAATACCCTTGTATTTTGATAGATTTTTTTTGAAGATCTTCAAAAATACATTACAATCTACAATGACTGTCACGCCAATAGGAAAGCACATTCCGTTTTTATGGTCTTTGATCACGATGTCAGGGTGATTAGCTGTGATTGTTCTGCCTGTGTGTATTGTAAAGTCCCATAAAATTGTTACAAGCATGAGAGTCAAAAGCACAGCGGGGTCTGCAAAAGTAGGTATCAATACAATACGTTTTGTGCACAGTTTTTGTTTTTCATTACTGTATACTGACTTTTGCATACTCAAGTATAGTAACAGGTTTTGAAAAAAGCAATGCACGATGGTGTCCAGTAAACATACCTTCACGTAGAGTGTCATATAAGAATAAAGTGTCGCTGCCGACACTTGGGTTTGAATATAGACCGCCAGTGAGCAAACACATGCGATCCCATTATTGAATTAAATAGATCACGTGACCATAGAGGAAATGCATATATGGGAATTAGTATGGCGTCTAATTGATCACCAGTCCTAGTCTATCCTCTATTACTATACGGATCACTCTTTCTATTCTATCCTCTATTACTATACGGACCGCTATTCTCTATACTATTCACTATACTGTTTCTCTATACGGATTACTATTCGGTAGTTACCCTTCGAGCGAGTATTATCGAGCAAGTACTATTAGTGCGAGAGATATTCCAAGGCGTCTGACACCAGTATTGTTCAACGGTGTTACTATAGTTGTATATGCGATTACAAAGTCTCTACTACAAGGAGCATTATGAACGTGATAACGAGTATTCGTTGACATCACAAAAGTGGCAACGAGTGTTCGTTGGCATCACAAAATAGGGTAACCTAGTCCACTCCGGTTGTCTCAAAATGTGACTCCAAGGTTCCTCTGGCTACCTCGTCCTTAAGACTTAAAAATAAAACAATCCCTCGTTACTTGATTATGGTGATCCTCCACTACTTCCACTTATGAACAGATGCCCATGATGACAGCCCCCAGGAACAAGCCAAACTGATTATGGTGAAGCAACTGACAACCAACTCGAGATTTATTGCATACATAATACAGCAATTGTAGCAAGAGAGTCCGAGGTTTACCTTGACAACCCACTGGGCCAGGTTGTAACACAAGGTCGGTTTTTTAACGTGGGGACCCGAGTTTTTCCACTCAGGCCGCTAGTCGAAACTGCTCGTAGTCTGTCTAAGGTGCTCATAGTTTTGGCTATGAGTAGCTTACAGTGGTCATACCACCGCTACTGAACAGATGTTAAGCAACGGTGGGGGGGGGGTATTATGCAAGGAAGGAGAGAAGGCTTCCAGAACGGAACAGATACTACATCTGCAGCATCCCCAAACGGAGAAAAAAAAAACCTTCTCCTCCTCTGCCAATCCCTCCAGAAGAACCCGGAAGGAAAGCCCCAACTGGCTTTCAACTCTGTGCTACTGAACGGGTTATTTACTGTAGAGAATCTTAATTCTCCAAGACAAAACATGTATACGTTAATACAATCAATTAATTAAGATCAGAAGTTATGAAAATTGTTATTGTCTTTGTCGTTGTTGTTATTAATATTATTATCATCATCATCGTCATTTTTTGCTTTCTGCTGATACAATCCCTTCCCGGGTTATTACCCAAGGGCTGGATTAGGACAATGTTTTAAATGTATGCGTTCTCTTTTCACTAAGTCTGATATTAAGTGATACTTAACATACTTTACATTGATAATATTTCCTGGGTAGAGGAGTTGTTCCACACAAAGCAATTCTCTTAATATCTTGTAAACAAGGGTTATCAGAGATTTTGTTAATACACTTGTTTGCACCTTTTTTTTTGAGTGTACCCAGTCCTCCACTTACTGTAGGTATAGCAGTTATTTTAAGGTGCCATTTTTTTTTTCAATTTCAAAAACCATATATTCGTTTATTTTGTTATATTCTTTCATAAGTATATTTCTTATCAGATGGCATTGCCTTATCTATGAAAAGGCATTTGTTTTGTCTTCTTTAATTTAGAGAAGGCAATGAGAAACCAATCCACTATCTTTCCAAAGAAGTCATGGTGATATTGAAGGGAAGGAAGCTGTGGAGAGCCATGATCGTCTACGTCCTGAAGGGACATGGGATTTAAAATAGGTGAGTGTTTCTACCTAACCTAAGTCCATAAAATAATATTTACTCAAATGACTTTATTATTATTATTATTTTTATTTTTATTTATCTTTGATTTCTGGCGTTTGCACATTTCTTTCCGGGTCCCGCCCAGGAACCTAAGGTTAGAAATGGCATCAGGACACTTACCACTGACAAAAAAAATTACTTAGATAAAGCCCTACGTAAAGTGTGGGCTGTACTTGTCAGAACAATTTTTTGTATCTCTTTGAGGCATGGACTTCCAAGAATCCCTTCAATTAGTCTACTGGAATCTTTTGCAACCAATTCTGGGGCTCCACCTACAACAGGGATTGTTGATGTTCTCATATGCCACATTTTGAGATTTCGATTTCAAGGTCCTTGTATTTTGACAGCTTTTTGAATATCTTCAAAAGATACATTGCAGTCAGCAGGGACTGCCATATCAATAAGGAGGCACTTTTTTTTTTGTTTGTAGTCTTTAATAACAATGTCTGGGCGGTTGGTTTTGATTGTTCTGTCAGTGTGTATTGTGTAGAATTGTAACAGGTCCTATCTCCGTAACCGGGTCTGGGTGGTGTTCATACCAGTTTCTTTCAGTTTCCTTCCCGTATAAGTTGCAGATTTTCCAGTGCAGATATTGGCCTACTCTGTCATGTCGGGTTTTATATTCAGTGGGTGCCAATATCGTGCAACCTGATACAAGATGATCAATCGTTTCTGTATATTTATCACACTCTGCATTTTGGGCTAACACAATATTTTTAGTATATGTGTGATAATTCCTAGTTAACAAGCATTGGTCCTGTGCAGCAAGGATAAAACCTTCAGATTCAGCTTTAGACCCTGCACTACGTAGCCACTGATGGGTACAGGTTTTGTCTACGTCAGCTTGTTTGGTACAGGCAGGTATTGACCATGAAGCGGTTTTATCTTGCCATTGTTTCTGTATCTGGTCAGTTGCATCTGTCTTTGCTTTCTTTTTTTAAGTATTTTGCAGCTTCAGCCGGTGTATTATGCTTTACTTGTATTTCTGCGCCCATTTGAAACTCCATTTTGAATTTGTTGGCTTCTTTTATTTCGAGAAAAGACGCTTACTACTTTCATGTTCCTTGACGCATATCATCATCCAGTCTTCTGTGGTTTCCAAGTATCTTTGGAGGCCAATTGTTGTAGTTTTGTAGGACAGTTCTAGTTGAACTAATCCTCTGCCTCCTTCGGATCTGGGCACATACAGACGATCAACATCAGCTTTGGGATGATGCATGCGATAGCAAGTGAGAAGCTTTCTCGTTTTGGCGTCCATTCGCTTAATTTCAGCTATGGTCCAGTTAAGGACATTAAAGCTGTATTGCACCACACGGACAGCCAATGTGTTTATGGCTGATATTCTGTTTTTTGAGTTTAGCTCAGTGTTTAGTACCAGACGTACACGCCTGTAGTACTCTTTTCTTATTTTTTCCTTCATTTGGGGGTGTTGTATGTCATCTCCTTCGCTAATTCCTAGGTACTTATAAGCTTCATCATGCTCCAGTTCCCTAATCGTTGTGACAAAATCTAAATCTATTAAGGGTGTTTCTGTAATTCTACCTTACTTGAATGTTACTTTTGCACATTTATCTAATCCGAAGTCCATACCTATGTCGTCACTGAAGTATTTTACAATATTGAGGAGGCCCTTCATCTCATTGTCGTCTTTGGCAAAGAGTTTGAGATCATCCATGTAGAGTAGGTGATTGAATATTTTCTTATTTATTTTGTAACCATAGCTACTGTTGTTCAGTTCATGCGTAAAGGGGATTAAGGACAAACAAAACAGAAGGGGTGACAGAGAGTCTCCTTGAAAGATTCCACGTCGGATATTCAGACGGTTGGATATGGCAGTGCCCTTGGTGTGACTAAGGTATAGTTTGGTGTTCCACATTCCCATGCTGTGCTTAAGGAAATCTAATACCACAGGGGAGGCTTTGTACATTTCCAAAGTCTTAAGGATCCAAGAATGTGGAACACTATCAAAGGCTTTACGATAATCAACCCACGCTGCACTAAGATTTCTACGTCGTCTCCTGCAATTTTCCAG